GAAAGTGACTGTGCTTTATTAGGCAATATAGCACACACATGACCCTGAATAATTATGCAATAAGTCTCTTGTACAGTTAAATTTAGCTCAAAAGAAGAAAACTGTTACAGAATCACCCAAAGCTGACCCAGAGGATATTGTACCTGCACCAATACGATAAGCAGCATGTACATGAAAGGCCACTATAAGCCTGACTGACACAGTCCCCGTGTTACTTTTAGGTAATGAGGGAACCTGCGAGAGCCTCCGTAGTGTTTTCCTTTCTCCCCGTTCCTCTCAGCAAGGCCCCAGGGAAGAGATAACAAGAAACAAAACAGTTGGCTGCCATAACAAAGAGGCAGCAAAGCCTTTTATACTTCCTTTAAATTGAATTTTTTTCCACTGTCTCAGAAATCTTCCGTAAAGCTAAAGTCCTCTTTACAGTGAATAGATATCCCTCAGAAATGTGACATAGGCAGGCGGTGATTGTTTGGAATCTTTACTCAAAGGCCATCATTGCTGGAGGATTATCCCACATTTAGGCATTTCGATTTAGTCACATCGAACCACTAAAACAGCCCTCCAAGCCAAACAACCACCCGGCTGCACATGTAAGCAGCTCCGTCTTTTTTTATTTTTTTATTTTTTTTGTCTTCTCTTGTATTTGATTTGTAAGAAAATATGAAAAGGCTGGCTGCTATCGCTTGATTGTTCTCGCTTTTCTTTCGTTCGATGACAGTCGCAATTTCAAGTAGCTCCAGATGTTATATTTAGGTTTGGAAAAGAATAAGGTTTGAGAAACTATCCCATCCCAAACTTCGAAACACATTGTGCTTGTTGCCAGTGAAGCGGGATGGGCTTCATAAGAAGCACACTGTAAGCCTAATGAAAATTGCTCTGAAAACAATGAGGCCAAGGCCTTCGATGAGCTTGTTGGATGGGCTCGGGCATCGTTTTTCCATCTAGCAGTTAGTTGGAAGTGGTTTTGCACACCCCATTAAACATGACGGAATGAAAGCACTCTTCTGCTGTGTTCATTTTCATAGGCAAGAGAGCGTATGTTGTGTCTACAGCAGTTGTGCTGTGGGCGAAAAATAAGCCCGTCGTTATATTTGCCACCCTACGCATATCCCTGCTTAACTCATTTTCGTGTTTTTGCATCTTCAAGTCTATGGTTTCTTTCCCTCTGTACCCCTAGAGAAACCTAGGGTGTGAAATATATTTTCAAAACTCAAATTTAGACAGAAAAACACGTTTCCGTGCATGTTTGAGACACTTTCTGTCAGAGCTCTTTTATCCCCAGTTTTCTTTTGCATGTGATATGAAGAGATCAGCAGGTGGCAAACAACCCTTTGAATAAAGCTCATCAGTTTCAAAGATACAGACTGCTGTTATAAATGGCTTTGTGAATTCACAGGCGTACATGTGCAACATTAACAGCCTGTAGAACTAATTATCTTTGATGCAATGGAAGTAGCTTATTCAAAAGTGGCATTAGCAGTTCTAGTTGAAATATTTCTTTAAAAAGGACAAAGAAGAAGAAGAAGAAGACAAAAAAGAGAGTGAAATGGCTGTGGCTGTGGCTCCTCATGGCTGTAAAAAGGGTAAATAAAATGTTTGTTTGTTTGTTTAAAATAAACTGGGAAACAATAGTTAAAAAATAAATATATATATATATATATATATATATATATAATATATATTATATATAAAAAAAATAAAATCCTATGGGCTCCTTCATGCTGAGGGTAAAAAATTAATAAAAAAGAACTGTGATCAAACTGTAATTCACAGCTTTTTATTTAGATTTTGATTTTGTTGCTGTGATTCAAAAACCAATAAAACAAACCTTTGGCTTATATGTCCAGAACCAGCATTCCAGAGAGACATCCACGTATTTATATAATTAATCTCAGATACAAGGAACATAAAACAGCCACAAACAAGTGGCTAAATCCAAGAGAATAACAACATATACATTACATTTTGAATGGTATTTTCTGTTATCTGATTTGTCATGGGTCATATCTGTATCGAGTAGTGTATCAAGACTACTTAGTAGTGCATCGAGAGGAAAAATTTATTGCTCAAAGTTTGCTCTTCCTAAGCTCAGGAGACTTAGTTTCGATTCTCATACATCTCTCATATTAGTATCAACAGCATTTACGCATCAATGTTTCTCCAAAAATTCCTTATGTAGACACAAATGAGACATGAGAAATATTTGAGACAAAAAGAGTAAAAACTGAGAATGTGGTGAAAGAAACATAGACTATCTCTTTATCTCCTTGCTGCATTCTCTATCAAGACTCCATATAGGGATATTTTATTGCTCAGTGGTTGCTCTTTCTAAACTCAGGAGACTTAGTTGTGATTCTCATGTATTTCTCATTTTAGTGCTAATAGTGTCTCAGATGTTTCTTCTAAAATTTCTTAGGAGAAATAAAAGTAGACACAAATAAGACATGAGAAAGGAGCAAAGGAGTCCAGAATGAGAATGGACTGTGAGAAACATGCAAGATCTCTTTATTGGCTTGCTGAAATCTATTTCAAGACTCCATTATAAAAATGTTTTATTACTCAGAGGTTGCTCTTTCTTTCTTGATTACATTTGGGTTTTTTACCTTTAATAGTCAGGACAGCAGGAGTAGAGACAATGAGAGAGGTGAGAAGAGAACATGAGCAGAAAAGTACCTTTAACTGGGACTCAAACTCGTGTTGTCTGAGGTGCAGTTGTGCCTCGACGTCAATGTGCTGCCCACAAGGCTATGGCTCTGACAGAGGTTACCCTCAGGATACTAAGGGTTGATTCTCTTATATGTCTCATGTAGGAATCAGCTTTGTCTTAAAGGGATAGTTCACCCAAAAATGAAAATTCTGTCATTGATTACTTGTCATTCCAAACCTGTAAGATCTTCGTTCTTCTTCAGAACAGTAAGAACATCGTTCAAATGGTCCATGTGACATCAGTGGTTCAACCGTAATTTTACAAAGCTACGAGAATACTTTTGGTGTGCAAAGAAAACAAAAATAACGAATTTATTTAACAATTCTTCTCCCCCAAGTTACCATCTACCGCCATTATCGAGAGTAACACGATGCATGCGCGTGATGCTGCTGACGTAGAACACTTATGCGTTGTGTTACTCTCGATAATGGCGGTAGATGGTAACTCGGGGGTGAAGAATTGTTGAATAAAGTTGTTATTTTTGTTTTGTTTTTGTGCACAAAAAGTATTATCATAGCTTCATAAAATTACAGTTGAACCACTGATGTCACATGGACTATTTTGTCGATGTTCTTGGTACCTTTCTGGGCCTTGAACGTTTCAGTTGCGTTGCTGTCTATGGAGGGTCAGAAAGCTTTCAGATTTCATCAAAAATATCTTAATTTGTGTTCTGAAGATAAACAAAGGTATTTCGGGTTTGGAAAGACATGAGGGTGAGTAATTAATAACAGAATTTTCATTTAATTTCTAACTCTTCTAAATTGTTGAGGAGACAAATGTGAGCGTTCCAGCATTTCTAGCTAAGGAGAAAAATCTGAGCACAGTGTGAGATGATGATGATGAGATCTCTTCTAAAACTTAAAAGGAGACCATTGTGAGCATGTTCGAGTTTTTATCTCAAGAGTCAAGTGTGAGAAGCAAGTCTCCATTTGATATTAAAATATCCTAATTTCTGTCTAGGCGAAATATCGGAGATGTTAAAGAGATCTCACATGTGATTTTTATTTCCTCTGGGGAATGACTAACACTAAGCCAGACTTTATCTCAAAATAAACCCTGACACATTTTTTTTTTTTTCGTAAGGAAAAAGAGAGATTTAGAGTGATACAAGAGACATACTATAATCACTATAAATTGCAGTCAATTATAGCAGTCAAAATGTCAATCTTATTATACAATAATAATTGATTGCAGACCACCATGACTGACCAGTCAGAATTGAATTTCCCAGAGAGCCATGTAATTCAGTGAATGAGAGACTGGATTGCATTTTACGTTGTTCAGCAGGCAAAATCTTTTCAGAAACTCATTTCCAAATTGTGCTATTTTGTCACATCAATGTTGTGAATAGGCCATACCAAATTATACACTGCCAGATAAAAAAATTTGCAAAAATTGTACCTTCGAGGGTTCAACAGCTTGTCACTGTGTCAGGACCCCCAAAACGACTCCTTTGTACCTTGTTTACACCTAAAGGGTGTATATAAATACCCAGTGCTGGGTAGTAACTGATTACATGCAATCTGGATTAAGTAATCAGATTCCAAAAATTTAATTTCTTGTAGAGTGTATTACATTTTAAAATACTCTTAATCAGACCACAGTTACTTTTTATTGATTGCATGATCACATATTATTTACATGATACATTATTAATAATTTATTGATTCTCTTTAAATTCTTCTTTTTTGTCTTTTAAATGTACTTCTCTAAAGTAGTTTATGGTTTACATACATTCCAAAAGGCAGATTTTCACACAAAGACCAGTCACAAGTATAATTACAGAAGAAAATGGAGAGGCCACATAACATTTGACCACTGGACCACTGAAATGGTCAACATTTTTACATTTCATCAACTACTGATGAACACATTAATTTGATTTAGCCATGTTTTATTATATCTTTGGAAAGCTTTGTCTTTCAAACATATTAAAATGCACAAATTCACATTATTTCATATTTAAATTCAATGCAGGGATTTCCTTTTTGTCAGCCTAAGTCTTTCACTTACATTAATATATTTACTTGAAGTACTCCCCGAGAGTGTATAATTAATAATTGAGTAACACATTTGCATATTCACAGTTAGGCGTAGTAATGTACATTTGAGGTCCATTTCTAAAGGTACAATTTTTGCACATTTTTTTTCTTTCCGGAGAGTTTACCGTTCAAGTGTTTAGTTTGGTTCTTTGTACAAAGTAATGTGCATGTAGACAGACAGGATAACAATTCCCAGGCTGCTGCCACTAGTCTGAATGGCATCTTCATCTCAGGTTCTGTTGCCTTTGAAGGTTGTTCATCTGGACAGGGAGGATGAGATACAGAAGATTCCTCTCCAGCCTCCATACTATGACATGGCACAGTCTGAGTCCACCGCGTTCACCGATAAGCCGGTGAGTAGCGTTGCTAAACTCATTGCTGTTTGTCCATTCTCTTGCTTTGGTGGTTTAATTGAAAAGAGGTGTCTGGGGTCGGGCTGTTATGGAGCACATCTTCGTATGCATGTTGTACAAGATGAATTGCCTTCAGAAAGATGTTTAGATTAAAAGAGGAATCCTAGGAGACTTATTTTCTGACTTGTACTGTGTCAGCTGGGAACAGATGACAAGGGTCAGTAATTCAGCTGGCTCTGCAGAAGGTGTGAGGTTTCTCATATGTTGGAGGGAATTCATTGCAGGCATATGGCATTGATATCCTGGCTCTGTTCCAAAACCTATTGAGCTGCCTTCTTACGTACAGCCTTCATAGGAAGCCGCATTCAAAGGTAGCATCCTAGCTGAAATGAAACCTCACAGTGACAGTATGGGAATAATCTGCATAGACACATCATATACACAGCATTCCTCACGGGAAGTTCACAGAAGTCTGAACTTTTATTTTAAAAAAATAAAAAAATAAAAATAAAATGTGTAAACCAGCCTGTTATTCCAGCTAAGAGGTGCAAACCAGCTTAAGCTGGTTTAAGAGGTTTACAAGGGCAATTGATTTTAATTGAGTTTTGTATTAGCATGTTGCTAAGCTAACAGTACAACACTCAAAATGTATACCAGTGAACACAGATATTATTTAAACTATTTTTCAGTATTGGCTAAATTATATTTATAATCAATGCATTATGGGATTGTCTTCTGTCCAAAGAATCTGAGGTAGAAAATACCAGCAGACATGATAGACTGGTAGACATTTTGGTAGATATTTTGGATTATCCTGGTTACATGACATTGCTGCTGTGTCATGAAAGTTTATTATTTGCATTTTTATTATTTTTTTGGTTCAAGTGCAATAACCTGTGAAGGAAAACTCAGTTTGGTACTCAAGTGCTGTATGAGAGACAACTTGTGTAGCTTTAATTAAAAACAAACAAAAAAAACAAATCAGTGAATATTTAATTCATACAGCAAAAACTATGCCATTTCTTTTTAAACTTGAATAGATTATTTGATATCTGTAGTATTTCTGATATATAAATTCCTACCTGAAAAATTTCAAGCACTTTTTAATTTTATGTGTATGTTTCTTCTGTTGTATTTATCTGTCCTATTACTTGTCATTATTTTCTTCGTTCTTTTTTTTCTTTTACTGTCAAAAAAAAAAGTTGTTATCAATATGCTTGGGAACCTTTTTCTTACATTCATTTACTCTATTAGTTTTTGCTGTGATATCAAAATTGGTGCTGATAATTATGAAATTTGCATCACCCCACGTCTCGACCCTAGTCAGGCACCGCTACATCACATAACAGCAACAACAACGGCGGACTACATGCTTGTGTTCGTGCTGCAGAAGCTACTGAGCCTATTAGCTTTACTAAAGAAAAAGAAAAAATTACCAAAGCAAAAATATTTATATGCCGCGCGCAAGGTTTATGCACATGCTCCAAGTCTTCTTCTCCATTTAGTATGAAACTTTGTGGCACTTGCTATATGAACACACACACAAAATTTAAAAAAATAATTGGCTTGATCAGAAAAGGCTAAATGGTCTTAAAAAATAGTCACCTTTAAAATATTTAAAGTAAAAAATTACCGCCATAGGAAATGAATGTGAAAAATACAAAAATGCAAAGCATTTTTAATATACAAATCAGCCAGACAGATGTAATCTTTGATCATGTCTAAATCTAAATCTAAATGCAAAACCTATTAAAAATAAGTATGTCTGAAAATGTGCTTACAATTAACTAGAAAATACATACAGTACTCCATTTAAATGTATATGATTTTCTTTATTTCTCCTCCTAGATGATATATAAATAAATGGTGCATTTATTTCTATATAAATTATATTATAGACATGGTGCAAATGTTTAGTCTAGTAGCATAAAATATAATATGGTATATTAATTTAATTTGCAAGATGTTAGTCTTATTGTCTTCATTTTGTTTTGACTGCTGAAGATCATTAGTGTGACCCCTAAGTTAAAGAGGGTTAAATAGCTGAATATCATAGAGACTTGAGAGTGGGACTTTTTGGCCAGTAAGCAACCACCTAGCAATTCCCTTGCAATTCTGTTTGATGTCTCATACAGTACTTCACATTTAAGTAATATCCACGCACATGTTCATATCCACTCACAATACTTCCTTATTTTAGACTCTGCACGAAATAAATCGATCAACATTTAATTAAAAATACCTTCATCTTAACATTGTTGAACTCGCAGTAATTAGTTAGCCACCCCATGCTACAGCTGTGGAAAATAATCATTTTTATGACGCATCATGATGCCGATGCGGACAATTCTGCATAAATATAATAAAACAGTACATTAATATGTATGATAGGACTATTTAATTACAAGAAAGTAGGCTACTTTTTTATAGGCTATATTAATAAATAAAAGTTGTGCATGCCTTTGAAAGCAAAGCACTTAATAGCGATTGATGTTTCCAGATAATCTTACTTCTACCAGATAATAAACAAAAGAGCTGCTAAAGTAAAAGTAAAGAAGTTTGTATTTAAAGTCAAAAGCAAACACACTAAAACATTTTTAATGTTTCAATAAAAGGACCTCAGTGTATATCATCTAAATTCTGCTGATGATTACATTACTGCTCTAACATAACACTTAATTTCAGTTTCAACTAACTAGAAATGTCTCTTTAACGTCCACTTAATTTGTATATAGTGCATATTTAAGGGAGCAATGCAATGCATAATATCATATTATTAATAATAATAACATGACAATATCTGTAGTCAATACTGATTAAATGGGAGGAGGAAATCTATACCCAGCTAGGAAAAACAAAATGATAAAAGCACTGATGTTCTGAAGTAGTATTCAGGAACTGTGAATAAATTACTGCAACGGGACACATTATTTGAACGCAATAGGCTAAGCCACAAAAATGATCTCAATGCGTTACTCGCACTCACTGAAACTGTAGCCTAGTTATTGCATCAGCTGTAAAGAATAACTACCATAATTTAACAACATTTTACATCTTTCATTTATTTTGGTTAATGTCATCATAACCATTTTTTTAAACTATTATTAAGACATTAGTGATTTTAAAAAATGCAAATAGGATTTGTAAAAATTATTTCAGAAATTATGAATGTTAGTTCATAATGCATTTAACCAACATTAACACAATTTAATGCTTTTAAATTGCATTAAATTTAATTTATTTATTTATCCCTTAAGGACCTTGTCATTTTTCTTCTGTGAAACAAAAGTTAAATGCGTCCAGAATAGTTATCATTGTTTTAGTGACAATGACATAAATTATAAACCAAGTATGAAAAAATGTCCAGAGTTTTCATGTTATTAGATTTTTAACAATAATTTAATTTGTACCAAGGGGGGAGTTTTGCCCCACAGGTGGGGTAAAATGCCCCAAGTCTGACAAAGCAATTTGCTTACATTTACAGCAAAATCAGAATACAGGCAGTTTTAGCTTAAAATTAAAAAGAATATAATCAATAATTATGAATTACAAAATAATAATAGCCTATTTGAAAAATATTGTTAGCTGATGCTAACTGGCTAGCTAATTAACTGATGCCAACTTGAGGTAATTTTTAAATATAAATTCCAAATATTTGTATTCAGCCAACTAGTAATACAGTACATTTGATGGAAAAACAAAGGATCTGATGTTCAGAACACAGTAATTACAATAATTAAGTCATGTCCCCGGTGGCATTTTACCCCACAGACTAGGTTGAAAAAAAAATGTCATTCTGAAAATATAATTATATATTTCTTAACACATACTCCCTATCTACAGGCCTTACTATTCTCATATCATAAACTGTGATTTTCTTCAAAACAACAAGCTTTAAAACACTGTTTTTTTCTCTGCTAAAAAATTTGATCACTTACTGTGAAATCAGATTTTATATGACAGACCTATAGTTTCGGATGTTTTGTTAATGGCATGTATTACTGCAAAATTAAAGGCTGACAGTTTGCGCTTTGTGATTATTAAGACTGTAGTGAATGTAGGCTGTAGTTCTCGTGGATGAAGGGCCCCTCAAGAGGTAAAGCCCAGGGGCCCCTTACAGTTTAATGCGGCCCTGGTAGTAAGACTATCTGTCAATATGCCACTGACACATACGGTTAGCATCTTGACCAATTAACTACCTCATAATTCATTATTCCTCATCATTTAAAAAAAAAAAACGATTCAAAAACTACTGGACGTCATCCTTTACAATGTAGGCAGCAGTGAGCTGAAGTATGCCTATAGAAAAAAAGTAATAATAAAAAGAAAACTTATTTTATTTATTCTAGTAGTCGATTTTTGTCATTTTTAATCGTTTGCATCAGCCCATATGTTTTTTCTGTTTGACCAATAGTGTCAGAAACAAGACTTTTATTTTGACAACTCTGAGAACGCAATTGATTAAGAACAAACGCACTGGCACTCCCATTACTAAATTAAATAACTAAATTAAAGACACAACATTAGTATTAGTAGTATTATTAGTATTATCTATTATTAGCAATGGAAAGGTAACAAAATATAACACTTTATCACAAATAAATAAATAAATATTCATATTTTCTGTGTACTGCATAAAATTAGTGCTACCTGGTCTTTATTGTGGGGATATGGATATATCTATATATCTATATATATATATATATATATATAGGGTTGGAACAAAACTCTGCAGGGCTCCGGCCCTCCTGGAATTGGTTATATCAGGGGTGGCGAACGTCGGTCCTGGAGAGCCACAGCCCTGCAGAGTTTTGCTTTAACCCTAATCAAACACACCTGAACAAGCCAATCAAGGTCTGAACGGTTACTAGGAAGTGAGTTTTAATTAGGGTTGGAGCTGAACTCTGCAGGGCTGTGGCTCTCCAGGACTGGAGTTCGCCTCCCCTGGACTATATGCACGGTTACTTCCTGGTTTTAGATAAGCCAGCTCAGTAGTTTTT